GTACCTTTGTGTGGAACACCACAAGTCTCTGAGCGCCAAGGTAGCCAAAGCCGAACTTTTGATTTGGAAGACCAAATAATGACTTCCAAAATGACTCTTCTAAATGTACTTCTTTTGTATTGTCTAATTCTTTTGATAATCAGATTTCCTGACTTCAGGTATGGACACTGACTGAATACAATTGATCGTGTTTCACTGGATTAAACATGTTCTTGAGCTTTCACATCTAAAATGATAATGGAATCCTTTTGTTGTTACCGAGGATTGAACTCAGGGCCTTGCACAGACGCGTATGCTACTGAGCTGTTTCCCTGGCCCATGATAATGGGATCTTGTGTTTACTTTTTAAATTTTAAGCCTGCAATTAATACTTGCTTTTCTCATTTTTATTTTTTAGTCTTGTGAAAATGCCATTGTGTGCTGGAAACCTGGCAAAATGGAAGATGATATAGATAAAATTAAACCTAGTGAGTCCAATGTGACTATTCTCGGGCGATTTGATTACAGCCAGTGTGACATTTGGTACATGAGGTTTTCTATGGATTTCTGGCAGAAGGTAGCATATTTTTACATTTGACTTAAAGACCATTGTGATTCTAGCTTTAGCTGTTCTTTATCCTCTAAGAATCTTTGGTGTTTTGATTACTCTGCCTTTGATGTCATATATTCTACCTTCATGGGTTCTCCACTCCATCTGCAGTGCCAGTTAAATACGGGGATATTTTTTTAATCTTATTTAATTTATTTATTTAGGAAGGGATATGTTATATTCGACTTAATATTTTAGTGAGTGGAGTGTTGATTTCTTACATAGCTTTTTCCCTAGAGAAAATTTAGGAACATCAGCATGAAAGGTAGAGACAAAATACCCATTACCCATTGGAAGAGAATTGTGTTTTTAAGAGTTTTTGGTAATAAAAGATTTCTGTAAGAAAATATTGGAAAATCTTTGCACAGTTTTGGCCATAGTTCTTCAAAGCAGAACAACAGACTACCATACTACAGTATAAAGTGTAAAATCCCTCATAAAATTGCAGCCACCTGTGAAATACTGACTATTCTTATTCCTCTTTATTAACTCAGGAGTGTAAGATCCAAAGAAATAGTCAAAAGCACAGTCAGATTAAAGCCAAGGTTTTTCTGAAGTAAGAAAAATCTCTTAGGACAGATTTAATGCCTTTGAATATGGTGGTTTTATTAATTTGATGTTTTTAAAAATATGTTCACACAGATGCTTGCATTGGGCAATCAGGTTGGCAAACTTTATGTCTGGGATTTAGAAGTAGAAGATCCTCATAAAGCTAAGTAAGTATTTAGAAATTTCTAACATGTTCTAAATGTTGCTATTTTTCCCAAATTTATGCCATTATAGAAGGAATCATTGTTATTCTCAGTGACATCCTGAAATCATTTTAATGCAAGTATTGGGGTAAAACTTTTTTCAGTAATGATTTATATTTCCTGAGTACCTCGGTGACAAGATATTTCTCTTACAAAAATAGGTGGTGACTCTTAAGCTCACCCAAACTTCATGAAATTTGAGTGGAACTGTAATGAAGACTTGTAGTTTTAAACACTTTTTATGAAACTTGGAACATCTGTTCATTTTCTTACTCTGTTAAGTAGATAATGAGTGACGGTTAACTTCGCATGTTTTCCCCAGATGTACAACGCTGACTCATCACAAATGCGGCGCTGCTATTCGGCAAACCAGTTTCAGCAGGGATAGCAGCATTCTTATAGCTGTTTGTGACGACGCCAGCATCTGGCGCTGGGATCGACTTCGATGAAATACGCTTTCCTAACCGAAATTAGAGCGCGGTGTTTGTGTACAGTAGAACTAATGTATCTTGCTAGTAAGGGCACATAGAGCATTTAGGCTTGTTTTTCAGCGTCCAATCGGGCTGAACCGAATGTAGTGATGTTTACATTGTTTACATTCTTTGTATTGTCTTCCTGCTCAGACTCTACTGCTTTCAATAAAAATTTATTTTTGTAAAGTTGTGTTTTATTTTATTGTGTTGAAAATAATAAAATAATGCCCTAAGTTTTTTGTCTTTTTAAACTGGAGAAAGCTGTTTATCTACAAATTAAGTATAAGCTTTACTAAACTGAATTTACCATTATTGGAGATTATATGTCTTACATTTCTTAGTATCAATGATTTCTTCTGTGATAAGTTTTTAAAAGACTGTATGTTTAAAATGTATTGAGAACATATAGTAATGTTTTCTTGCCATTAGAATTGTAACTACCCAGTAATAGCTGTAATGGAAATGTTATTAGGACAGAAGATTACAGGACACAGAAGCCTAAATATACAGGGTCAACTAATGTAGGAAGTGCAGAGTTTGCCCATGTAATGTGTTACTGCCCCTTTTAAAAGGGAGTGAGAGAGCTGATAGGTCTCACAGGGTTGAGTTGAGACGTTTTTCTGACATAGGGTGCATTACATTTGTTAATTAAAAAAAAAAATCCCAAAGCATTAAGACTAGGATTACATGTAATCCTGGGTTAATCTGAAGTGAAGAGAATGAAGAAAACTTAAGTAGTTAAAAAGCTGAGTAGTTAGCAAAAGTACTGTAGTTATAAAGCTAAAGTTATAAGTTAAGGTAAAATGAAGTGAGGGTAAAAAAAAGCCCTAAATTTTGTAAAGCTTTGTTTCTGAGTTGTGTATTTCTAAAATTCTATTCTGATGTGTACTTGGACAGTACTTAATAACACTGTTCCCTTCTGAACTGTTTCTAAAGCATTTCTTTTTTCATATATTTAGTACAGGGTCTACAGGGTCTCTCATTACACAGATTAGACCCATAGTGATCAGCCTGCCAAGTGCTGGGATTATAGGCATGCCACCATGCTCAGTCTCAATTGCTGTCTGTGTGCCCGGGAGGGCAGCCGGCATGGCACGCCTGGGATCAAACCCTGGCCAATGCACTCTACCTAAGCAGGCATTTTAGTCCGCTGAGCTATCTGGCTGGCCCTCATTTAAAAATTTCTAAGTTAGCCAGTTCTCAGTTTGTAAAATAAGACTGCTATATAAGGGAAGTTATATAGAAAGATTCCTAGAGAAAACGGGGTATATGTAAGAAATTACCAAGTGCATATTAAAGTTGAAAAGTACAGGGCCAGTGAGATAGCTCAGCGGACTAAGCGCCTGCTTTGATAAACTCAGCAATCAGGGTTTGATCCCTGGCCCCGCATGCCCCACCCTGCCTGCCCCCAGGGGTCGCTGAGCCAAGGACCAGGGTGTGGTAGTACACTCCTGTAATCTGAGTCCCAACGATGCTTGGGAGGCTGAAAACAGGATCATTATGGATCCGAGCTGCAGAGTAAGGCCCTGTACCAAATACATAAATGGAAAAAAGTTGAAAAGAACAGTATACAGGTTGCTCTAAGAATCAAGTACACATAAGGCACAAAGACTTTTTTTTTTTTTTTTTTTTTGAACCGGGGATTGAACTCGGGCCCTTGCGCTTGCCAGGCAAGTGCTTATTCCACTGAGCCATCTCCCCAGCCCCAAGGCACAAAGATTTTGAAGTGGAAAATTTCACAAGGCAGTTATGCTGAACACTGCTACTTAGCCATATTCTGGCCACTTAGTAGTACTTGAAAATATAGGAACCTTTATAACAAGTACTATTCGATTTTAAGGACAGAAAGAGACATGGGAGTATTCGCTTAATGTTCTGGAGCTTCTTAGGTACAGAGTTGGAAGACACTCGTAGAGCTTTTCCTTCATTTTTGCTTCAGCTGTCTCAAAAGACTGGAGCAACAGGACTTTTTCAAATTCTGATTCTCTGTACAGGTCGGGGCTGGAAGGACACTTCTGCTTATGGCTAACCTCAGCTATTCCAAGCTAGGCAAGGACCCTCTTCCATTCTATAAAAGGAAAAGGAATTGAAGCTGTAAAAGAATGAGTTCTGTACTGGTGGCGCTCAGTTCTTGATGCCACTTCTATGAAATACACGAGGATAGGGATTTTGCAACAAAACTTTTAAGTATGACCACTATGCCAAGCAAAACGCATGTCATTTAATCCTCACAGAAACACAAGGAGACAGGTACCATTATTTTGCAGATGGACCGTTGAAAAAGGGTTACATACTTTGAGCACAGTTCTTTTTTTAAAATTTCGGTTTGTTTTTTGTATATTGGACAGGCTGTGCAGAGTGTACAAGGGTCTCACTGCGTAGTTCGGACTCGCAGTGATCCTCCGGTGTACAGCCTCCCAAGCAGGGATTACAGGCCGCCCAGTCTCAACTGCCGAGTCAGCGCACACCGGGGGGCGGGGCCGGCACGACAGGCCCGGGGATTGAACTCCGGGCCCCCGCGTCTGCCTAAACAGGCGCTTTAATCCGCTGAGCTATTTGCCTGGCTCTTACTAGAGTTGTTTATTATTAAGTCTATGGGAAAGGCAGCTGGAGTTACAGTACTTTTACTGAAGTGCAACGAAAATTGTCAAAAGTACTTCTGAGGTCCTGTTTAGAAGAAAGAACCCTGAAATTAAAGCACAGCTTCATTTCAGGGTCCAACACTTAATTTTTTTTTTTTTTTTGGCGGAACCAGGGATTGAACTCAGGCTCTTACGCTTGCCAGGGAAGCGCTTATTCCACTGAGCCATCTCCCCGGCCCCTCCAACACTTAATTTTGTGTAAAGATTTTGGGCTTTTTTACTCGGAACTTCCACTTCCTTACCTGCAAGGGATTACAGGATTTGCACGGTGATCCGGAGTTCGTACCTCTAAAACGTAGCGTACCTCTAAAACGTCACACAGACGTCACAGCCGCCTCCCGCTGCTGCTGCACTCGGCGCTTGGGGCTCTGGAGTGCGGGGATGGGAAGCCGCCTAGCTACCGCCCCCGGAAGCCCGCCCGGAGCCTCATGGTACTTGTAGTCCTGGCGCCGGATCTTCGCTCATAATGGGCGACTGTGCGTGCGCGCCCCGGAAGTGCTCGCCCGAGAGGCGGGCCGACTAGGAGGAAGGGTCAGAGGTCGAGGGTCAGGAGGCGTTCCCGCCACTGGCCGAGTCGCCCTGGAGTGGAGCGGCTGGCTTCCACTCGCCAATTCTGGAAGCTTCTTGGGCTCCACTAGGGTAGCAGCCACAGCCTTCCTAGTCGCTGCTTTCAGGTCCCTGCCGAGGGGAGCCGCCGCCGCCATGTTTGGCTGCTTGGTGGCGGGGAGGCTGGTGAGGACGGGCCGGGGTATCTGGCCGGGTCAGATACAGAGGGCGAAGTCCCGGGCGCAGGGCTGGGGACGGGGCTGGCGCGGCTGCGGGAGGCTCGGGCGCCTGGCGGCGGCCGCGCGCGGGCAGGGGGCGCCCTGTGGCCGTCCGCGTGCGTCCGAGGGGAGGTCGCGGTGCCGGCTGCGCCCGACGGACGCGAGCGGCGCCCGGTCCTCCCTCGCGGCGGCGTGTTCCTCCGCCCGCCTGCCGCGCCCCGCGGCGCTCCGGCCTCTCTCTGTCACTCACTGTGGCGTGGTCCTTCTCGTTTTGCAGCGCAGGAGCCTAAACTCAGCGGGCGGTGTAAACGCTCGCCGAACGCACGACGCGAGTCACGAGTAAATGCGGGATTTTAATCTGGTCTCTAGCACACTGTCAAAGATGAGCCGCTCGGGCACCTTTGTGAGGATCCTGGTACACATACGCTTAATGGCATTGAAGTTGGCGGATAAAATCACTGAAATTTAGGTGCGAGCTCTTTGAGAGACTGGAGACGGGTGTGGACAGTGTTTTCTGGTTGGTCGGAAGGATAAAGTGCCTTGCCCGGGTATTAGAATTAAATGTCGTGTCAGGAACTTTTAAGGAATAATCTGAAGGCGAGGCGAGGCTTGTTTGCTTTTATGGAAACAGACATCCTTTTCAAATTTGACTGCTTTCCTTAGGAGTTTGGTTTCTCTTTTCTTTCTTTTTTTAATCTTTTCGGCCTTGTGCTTGCCAGGGAAGCGCTTAGTCCACTGAGCCACCCCCCCCCTTTTTTTTTTTTTTGAGACAGGGTCTTTCCCCGAACTCGCTGTGTAGTTCAGGCTGGCCTCAACTTTTGGCGATCCACCGGCGCAGCCACCCAAGCAAGTGCTGGGATCTCGGGCGTGCGCCCCCATCCCCTGCGGGAGGTTTTTTTTTCTTTTTATTCCCTGTGTTGTTAAGACCTTATATTCCCTTTGGTGCAGGTTTTTCTTCCCGTTTCAGTAATGTATTCTGTACCTGATTCTAAGAAACCGCGAACCACTGCTAACCTCAAAGTTCACTGTCTTGAATGTGTAGGAGGGGGAGTTGGTAATCCTAGTGAGGTCTTTTGGGACTTCCCCGTTTTTGTTTTTGGCTGTGCCAGGGGTTCCGTGGTGCACTCTTGACAACACTGTAGCTGTGTCTTTTGTAGAATTTTGAGACAGGATCTTGCTGAATTGCCCAGGCTGCCCTCCGGTGTGCCCCTAGCTGGGCTTACAGGTGTGAGCGCCCTTGACTTTGCCCCTGTTGTGTAAGGACAGGACCAGTTTGGGATGAGTGTGGGACTCGACGAATATCATCAATGAATAATTAAAATTATGTGTTTTTAAGGAATAAAAAGCTGTACAGAATCCATGTATGAGGTAAATCAAATTTGGAAGGGAGTTTAGTTACAGTAGTTGTGTCTATACCCAGCACCTCATTTCTTTGGTGAAAATTTCTATAGCGGTGTTTTCAAGATTTTTTTGGGAGGAAGGTATTTTTTCTTTAATTCTGTACTATTAGGATACGTAAATTAAGACGAACATAAATCAAATTGAAGGGCGAATAGACCTAGTGACATCTCAAAATTTATTGTTAAGCAGAAAAATGCAATTAAAGTTTTGACTGCAAATTTTTATTCCTTTCAATTTTTTGTTAAAGAGTGAGGTACATTTTTTTTTCCTTAAGGGTTAATGTCAGGCTGAGGCAGGTGGATCACAAGCTGGAGTCCTGCTTCATCTGTTTAGTAAATTAGAAGGAAGTACCCAAAAACCTGTGTTTAAAACAAAAAAACGCTGGGAGTATGCCCAAGTGCCTGAGTTCAATTCCCAGTGCAGTACAGGCACGCACACAGAGTGCTGAGCTTGTCAGTACAAATGTGCTCTCTGGTGCCCTGTACTGAGTTGACAGTTAAGTATGTATGTATTTTGCTTGATGGGTATTTCTTTTTTTTTTAATATTTATTTATTTTGTGTCTGTGTGTGGCCAGTTCAGCCCACCAAGGGGCGGGGCTGGCTGGCATGTGGTGCTGGGGGATTGAACTGCGGTCCCTGTGTTTTGCTTAGTTTAGCTTGTTCTAAGTAGGTGCTTTAGACCACTGAGCCATCTCACCAGCCCCATTGATGGGTGTTTCAAGATTCATAAATATGATTTTTGATACTTTTTGGCAGTTACATGTGTGCTAAAACCTGATAAAAATTGAATCTAATACTGATCCAGTTCTCTTGTTATTTATTTATTTTTTTTTTTATATTGGAAGTAGAGGTTTTTAACGGAGTCAGAAAATTGAGCAGGGCCAGCCAAATAGCTCAGTGGATTAAAAGCCAGCAAGCAGGTGCAGGGGCCTGGGGTTCATCCTGGGCCCTGCTGGCCAGCCCCGGGGCACGGAGGAGGCAGTTGAGACTGGGCTTGGCATGTGCCTGTAATCCCAGCTCTTGGGAGGCCGTAAAAGGAGGGTCACTACGAGTCTCTAGTAGTGGGACCCTGAACACCCTTAGACCCTAAAATTTAAAAAAAGAAATTGAGAGGACAAATTGAGAGGCCCAATACGGCCTTGACGTATTGGGATTTAATTTAGGGCAGTTGATACTACTTTACAATTTATAGGCGGAGTTAAGTTTTCTTCATTAGTAGGTATGATATAGAGGGAAAGTGAGGATTTTAGTAATAGCCAGCAAGTACTGGGAACAGAAAATAAGTTGCATTTGGGTAATAAGGATTGACTCTTTAGTCTTCAGAATAATAGTAATTTGGATGATATTTCAGTGATTATCAGTTGTAAGTCAAAAGCAATAACCAAGAAAAATCACATAAGGTAGATTTTTGATAACCTAGTTACCTGTACTCAGAATTAATATGCTTGCTAATGGTATGAAATAGCAATATTTTTCTAAAAATTAAAATTTTCTGTGAAAGTAGATCATTCACACAGTGGGTTAAAATCTCAGTTTAAAAGTTAATGTTCAGGGGCTGGAGATTTGGCTCAGCGGTAGAACACTTGCCTAGCAAACTGGAAACCCTGGGTTCAGTCTTCTGCACCAAAAAAAAAGAAAAGTTCAGTTCTAGAACAAAATTAGGTTATGAAATGAGTTCTGAAAAGCTGTATATAAGTTTCCAAGTATCAAATTTATGTATTTTATATAAAAGTATAGTCCATTCTAGTAGTTTCTTTTTTTAAAATTATTTATTTATTTATTTTAACATTTTGTGTGTGTGTGTGTGTGTGGCCAGCTCTGCCCACCAGGGGGCGCGGCTGGCTGGCATGTGGTGCTGGGGGATCGAACCGCAGTCCCTGTGCTTTGCCAAGCTTGTTCTAAGTAGGTGCTTTAGACCACTGAGCCATCTCTCCAGCCCCAGTTTCTTTTTCTTAAATCTATGAACACTGAAATTCAAAAGCATGGATTTACCACCCTGAGAGTCTCTAGTCACAATTTTTTTTTCCAGCACTGAGACTTGAGCTGAGGGTCTTGAGTATTTTATTTTAATTTTATTTATGTGTGTGTGTGTATGTATGTATGTATGTATGTGTGTGTGTGTATGTGTGGCCAGCTCAGCCCACCAGGGGGCGGGGCTGGCTGGCATGTGGTGCTGGATTGAACCCCGGTCCCTGTGCTTTGTTAAGCTTGTTCTAAGTAGGTGCTTTAGACCACTGAGCCATCTCACCAGCCCCGGTCTTGAGTATTTTAGTGAAGTGTTCTTTCACAGAGCTACAGTCACAGTTTTTTTTGTTTTTTGTTTTTTTTTTAATGAGACAGGGTTTCACTCTACAGTTCAGGTTGGCCTTGAACTTTGTAGCCCAGTCTGGCCTCAGTGATCCTCCTGTCTCAGCCTCCTGAATGCTGGAATTGCAGTCATTCCTAGTTACTCAGCATTTTTGATGAGCCTTTGATAACTTATTTTATATATGTTTCTGTTTACTTAAAGACATATTTAACATGCATTCTTGAATAATTTACATTCCATTCATGGCCAAGAAGGAGTATTGCAACTTACAACTGAATGAAATTTAGCATACATTTTCTCTGTAAGGTATTTCATAGTCATCTTGCAATTAGAAACACTTACCAGCATATAAACCTTGGCCATTTTAGGAACAGGATAAAGTATAACATGTTGATGAACCATGGTACTACATTTGCTGTGTAAAGGACACTTGTCACGGAATTTGGGCTAAAACAAGAACGTGTGGCGTATGTTGGCTCCATTTTAGCTAGGAATGTGTGAGTCAACTACATCTTGGATATTCTTTCCATTTCTCAATCCGTGAGTGACTGTAGCAGGCATTGCTTTTGGGTTACAAATTTTAGTGAGTAGCTGACTTTGCAAGTATGGAATCTTTATACCTGAAGACTCATTTCTGGATTGCTTAAGTATTTTAATTATCTGAAGTTCTGTATCATCAAACTGGAGGAGAAAAGCTTGGTAGTATGATTTGAACAACCTTTCACTTTTACGATATTCCAAAGATGTAAAATTGTTTCACAGTACTTCTGAAAGAAATTAGTTTCATTATTATTATTATTTAAATTTTTATTTATTTATTTGATAGAGGGACCATGCCTGGTTTTGGGGCGGGCATCGACCCCAGAGTTCGATGCTCAATACAATACTGAGCATCGAACTCAGGTCTTTGTGCTTGCCAGGCAGGCGCTTAGACTGCAGATCTGTCTCCCCAGCCCTAGTTCCATTTTTAAAAGATAACATTAAATGATGCTTTTAAGGCTAAATAGGTATTTTTTGAACTCTATTAAATAACACCTTCGTGGCTGTGAGGATAGCTCAAGGATATAGCACACTAGCATGTGTGAGGCTCCAGCACTGCCCACTAAACAAATACCTAAAAAGTTAATACTTCCTGGCATATTCACTAGTTTCATAATTGAGATTATCGGATTAACAGAACTTTCTGTTCAGTATGGTAATCGTAATCATCAATTTTGGTGACACAGTTTATACGATGCTGTATGGGTATATAGAAACTCATTAGAGTCTTGAACTAAGACAAGTTTCTTATTTTCTAGGTGCAAACAGCTGCACAGCAAGTGGCAGAGGATAAATTTGTTTTTGACTTGCCTGATTATGAAAATATCAACCATGTTGTGGTTTTTATGCTGGGAACTGTCCCGTTTCCCGAGGGAATGGGAGGATCTGTCTACTTTTCCTATCCTGATTCAAATGGAATGCCAGTATGGCAACTCCTAGGATTTGTCACAAATGGAAAGCCAAGTGCTATCTTCAAAATTTCAGGGCTTAAATCTGGTAAGAATAATAATCATTGGATAATTAAACCTTTTCTTAACACAGAAGAAATATATCTTTTAAGCCATTATATTTTTCTAGTTGCTAAAGCAATGCATGATGTTACTTTTGAAAAACAGATCATAAGAAACACTCGAATCACAGTAAGTAAAAAGCTGCTTTGGCTTCTTTACTGCTTCCTTCTTCCCCTGAAACCAGAACATAACCACTCAGTATTGTTCTCCTTGATGTTTCTGAATTGGTTGGTGTTTTAATAAATAATAAAAGGAGTTTCTCATAAAACTTGTAATATGCATATCTACTTTAAATGAATAGATAAACCAGGTGAAGTGAAGAGGAAGGAGAATTAGAGCGAATCTTTTCTTCCATTAAGATTTGTGATCTGGCAGGTGGTGCATGCCTGTTGTCCCAGCTACTCTGGAGGCTGAGGCAGGAAGATTTGTGACTACTCTGGCTAATTTAGCAGGACACTGTCTCAAAAAAAAGACTGTGTGAAAACTTTAGAATCAATCTCTAGTACTTTGCATAAATAATGCAAATAACTAAATAGATTTTGAACTCTTAGTTTGATTCTACAGCTCTTATTTTGGTTCTGTTGACACTGCAAAGATATAATTCTTGCTTTGATACTTGGGGTATTTTGTGAATAAATTTGAGAATGAAATTAGGTAGATGCCATTCACTCCTGTTGAATGTCTGGCTTCCTTAAATCTAGATGAAAACATATACGAAAACTCTTAAAATACAGGACTATATTACAAAAATTGTTGATAGAGTTTAAGACTAAATTTAGGCAGCATGCAAATGACATGTTTATGTGGATATATGTGCTGTTGGAATGTAAAGATGCTAATTAAGTTCTTTCCTGAAATAACTCATTCTTACAGAAGATGCTTCAGTAGACCAGTAATTAGCACAGCAGACATAATAGTAGGTGTTTGTACAGATCACTGAAGGAGAATAGAACGATGAGCAATTTCCTTATGGGTGACTTAGGGGCAGTTTCCTGAAGATGCCGTACTGGTGCTCTTTGGGGAAACAAGTAGGGCTTTGGCAGGCTAAGAGACCTGTTGTGGATTTGCTTCTCTTTGTATAGTAGGAGTAGAAGGCAAAAGCTGACAGCGTACTGTGCTCAGAAGGGCCCAAGGCGGAGCATATGAGGATAGAGATGAATCATGAGAAGGTATAGAGACACTGACTCATTTGGAATTTAAGTAATTTTTGACATACTTAGGTCACAGACATACTTAATAGTATGATAAAAAGTTTACGTAATGCAGTGGAAACACTTGAAAACTTACTAAACAAAATGGACTCAAGAATAAATTGATGGGTCTGGGGAGATAGCTCAGAGATAAAAGCACCTACCTGGCAAGCACAAGGACCCAAGTTAATCCCTGGCCCCACATATGCTGGCCTCGGAACCCTGGGCTCGGTGGTGCTTGCCTGTAGTTCAGCATTCAGGAGGTTGAGATGAGGATTGCTGCGAGTTCAAGAACAGCCTGGGGGCTACAAGGGTGAGGTTGTCAGTTCGATTTCCAGTAGTGTGTTCCCCCAAAGAATAAATTGAAATTCTGAACTGATACGCTACCAACAAAGAAATTCAAATCAATAATTAGAATTTTTATATCTTGTTACAGAAGATAGTTATAAAGTTAAATTGAGGGACCAGGAATATAGCTCAGCAGTACAGCTCAAGCATAAGGTCCTGAATTCAGTTCCTGGCACCAAAAACCAAACTGAAACAACAACAAAAACAAAGTAAATAGAACTGATATCCTAGTATTAAAGAGTTTTTGCTTTTTGTGGAAGCAGCCACTTAAACAACTGAGCTAAGGCCAGGCCCCTATTAAAGAGTTTTTATTGTAAAAAAAATTCAAGCATATATAATATCAGACCAGGGTTGGGGATATATCAGCAGCATAAGTGCTTGCCTGGCAGATGCAAGGTCCCAAGTTCGATTCCTAGTACTCAAAAATGAAAAAACCCTGAAGTCAGACCAAGTAGAATATTATACTCATCACCCAGCTTCAAAAATGGCCAATTTACCCATTTGATTTCACTGAGATTCTCAGGTTCTTTTTTCTTCTTTAGACTATTATCACCTAAAACCAGTCTTAACAGCAATTTGGGGGGCCTGGCCCTAGCTCAGTTCTTGGGGGCTGGTGAGATGGCTCAGTGGTCTAAAGCACCTACTTAGAACAAGCTTAACAAAGCCCAGGGACCGCGGTTCAATCCCCCAGCACCACATGCCAGCCAGCCCGCCCCCAGGCCGGCTGAGCTGGACACACACACACACACACACACACACACACACACACACACATAAATAAAAATTAAAAACAGCAATTTGAATATCTGTGATCAGTATCCATATTTTCAGTAGTCTCAGTAGTTTCATGTTGAGGCTGGGGATATAGCTCAGCAGCATAAGCACCTCGGCAGACAAGGTTCTGAGTTCAATTTCTGGTACCCCTTCTCCCCCCAAGCTCTTTATGTTTATAAGGTTTTAAATATCCATGAAGGGTCCTTACATTTCAGCTGATTGATAGGTTTTGCAAATATCTCGAAAAATTCAAAGGCTTAATGTATTCTCTATTTCTAGTAAATTAATTAGACTTAGAGATTTGGTCACATTTTGTTTGAGTTGATTTTTACAAATGTTTTTATCAGAATTGTAATAGGTGAACATGTGTTCTTTCATCAGGAACATACATGATTAGCTCTTTTGTGATATTAGCCATTTACGTGCAGTGCTTTAATTTATTAATAACTTAGTAGGGGTTCAAATTGATGATATTCCATCCTCATCATTTCATTGATTCATTGTAAAGAGAAATTTGCTACTATATGTCTACCTCAGTTTCAGGATAGAGCTAGAGAGAAAGGCAGGTTAGATGCTCAGGTTTTCTTCTTATAGATGAGTATTCAAACATAAGTTGATTTTCTCAGGCTTAAGATTCTTTAACATCCAGTTAATGAGATTAAATTAAAGTTCTTTAAAAAAATATGAAATCATTGGGGCCAGGGAGATGGCTCAGTGGAATAAGTGCTTCCCTAGCAAGCACAGGGGTCTGAGTTCAATCCCTGGTTCCGCCAAAAAACAAAAGAAAAAATGAAATCATGGACGTGTGTATTTCATTTATATTGGATGTATTTTAAGCAATTATACACCATCAGATTTCTTTCTTTTTTTTTTTAAATTTTATTTGTGTGTGTGTGTGTGTGTGTGTGGCCAGCTCAGCCCACCAGGGGGCGGGGCTGGCTGGCCTGTGGTGCTGGGGGATTGAACTGCGGTCCCTGTGCTTTGCTAAGCTTGTTCTAAGTAGGTGCTTTAGACCACTGAGCCATCTCACCAGCCCCATCAGATTTCTTAAGATCCAATTTCAGTTTGTTTTTTAAGCAGATAATCGTATTTCATGTTTATCTTAAATCCTTCAAAGAAAATTTATGCTGTTATTAGTTTTATTAGCGTTATTGAAATAAAATTGAAATGTAGTAAATCACACATATTTGAAGTGCACAGTTTCCTGACTTTTGCTGTTTCTTAACACCTGTGGAACTGTCACTGCAGTCAAGACAGTGGACATCCACACTGCCCCCAGGGGTCCCCTGCTTCTCCCTTGTAGACTCTTACCCACTCCCACACCTTCAACAACTACTGACCTATTTGCTAGTGTTATAAAATAGTTCGTAGTTTCTAGAATCTTACGTATAGGAAATAATGTGGCATATACTTTTGCCTGGTTTCTTCAGCAAAATTAATTTAATCATGTTGTGTATATTAGTAGTTACTCCTGGGGCTGGGGAGATGGCTCAGTGGAATAAATGCTTCCCAGGCAAGCACAAGGGCCTGAGTTCAATCCCCAGTTCCGCCAAAATAAAATAAAAATAAATAAATAAAAGATCTCTCTAGTTTATATTTAAAAAAAAAAATAAGTAGGTACTCCTTTTTATTTCTTGTTAGTAGTCCATTGCGTGTATGTACAGTAGTCCCTCAATGAGGAGTTTATGTTCCACATACCCGTGCAGTAAGTGAAAATCAGTGGAGTAGTGACGTTATATTTATTTTAGTGTTTATATTTTAAGACTTTATAAACCCTTCCCACATTCTTTTAAACCTTTTGCACAGTTTTAAAAATGCTTCTAATGTTCTTAACCATTTCCAAACTCGTAAATTTACGTAATCTTAGCAGCATACTTTTACTGTAGAGTACTGCAAAATCCTGCAGTATAGAAAAAAATCCGCGATAATGTAGGTTAATATACATAAATCTTTTACGCTTGTTTATTTGTGTGTTTGGTATAGAGTCTTGCTACGCTGCTCAGACTGTAGTGATCCTCTTGTCTCAGCCTCCCCAGCGCTGGGATTATGGGCGAGCGCCACCACACCAGGTCTTGGTGGCCAGCATGGCATGTGGTGCCAGGGATTAAACTCTGGTCCATGTGCTTGCCAGGCAGGGACTTAGACTGCCACACTATATCCCCAGCCCTCAGATTGATATATTTTTGAAAACTCACGTAACAATGAATCCGCGAAAGTCTTAACCATGAAATAGTGAGGGACTACTGTACTGCAATTTATTCACCTATTAACAAATATTTGGATTATTTTTAAGTTTCACCTCGCAAAAATAAAGCTGCTGTGAACATTTGTATACAATTCTTTGTATGAACATACATTTTAACTTCTCTTGAATAAATATGGAGGAGCGGAAAGGCTAGATCATATTGTACTTATATATTTTGCTTTTTGTGAAACTAGCAAACCATTTTCCAGTGTAATTGTTCCTTTTTATTTTTCAACCATATGAGTGTATGAAAGTTCCAGTTGTTCTTTGTTCTTGTTAACACTTAGTGTAGTTACTTTACCTTTTTGTGTTTTAGTTTTACTTTTAGTTATTTTAACATTTTAGTGTAGTGATATCTTATGTTTCTTTAATGTTATTGAACTTTTTCCATGTTTTTTTTTAGCTTTCTCTGTACCTTCCTTGGTGAGT